GAGTTTGAAATCCTGTTCAGTTTGAAATCCTGTTTGAAATCCTGTCTGAGAAAACTTACTTTTACTGTTGTTAACTGGAATAAGTAACACATGATAGCAATCTGATCTGTGGTAAATAAAACTACTGCTGTCTTTAAGTGCAGGTATGACTTTGAGGAAGATTGCAATATGGATGTTAGCCCACTTTTGAAGAAAGATTATCAGAACTATGGTTGCCAGGTGGCTTGGGCAGATGACATCTTATTTGAAACTAGCTTTGAATGTGATCTCACCTTGCATGGTAAACTTTATTCATTGACCTAAAGTAGGTAGTAGCCATCTATTAGGAATAGCTTTTTGTGATCCTGATAGTTTTACGTGCAAAAATTGGATACATTTTGGGAGTGGAGACCAAGCCTAAAAATCCAATAAAGGAAGTCAATAGAAGATACATCCAAATAGAAAGGGCTTTCCTCTTTCTTTTTTAATCCATCATTATGTGGTCTTTCCATCTCCCTCCTTCTTTTTCTGCTATAATAGATAATTGGAAAACTAACAGTGGTAGCCTCGAAATACAGAGTTAAGTAGCCATATGGTAGTGGGCTGCTTCTCATAAGTCTCTTGTGGGAAGAAAATGGTGCAACATCTGTTCATTTGACAACTACCACTTTTTATTTTGGCATTGTATATATTTCCTTAGTTGGGAGACAGAAGGTTAGTGAACCTTGTGAAAGCAATATATGATGCTTCTTTGTTTCTTTTCCAGCATGTAGTGTACAGGAAGCTTGCTTGCATTTGGTTAGAGTACTTCTTTACTTTTCTCTCTATATTAGATATAGCCTTTATTCATGGATAACAGTATTTCTGACCTGTTATATGCTTACTGTGGCCTTAATTGTTTTTTATTGCAAGCAGAATTCTTTCCTACTGGAAGAGTTCCACATATGAATCCATTTTGGTATCTGATTATTTAATCAAGTTATTTTACACCAATTTTATTTTCTTTCCGATTTGGTCTTTATTTATTTATTTTATTTTATTTAGGAGCCCTGATGGCACAGCGGTTACATGCTGAGTTCAATCCCAGCCAGGGGCTCGGGGTCAACTCAGCCTTGCATCCTTCCATGGTTGCTAAAATGAATACCCAGATTATTGGGGGCAATTAGCTTACAGATGTAAACCACTTAGAGACTGCTTAATGTGGTATGAAGTGTATATAAATGAAGCTGCTACTGCTATTACTATTGCAAAAGAATGTTACCCAAGCTGAAGCTTTAGACAGCCAAGAATAAAGTGTAAATATACCACCCTGAACACCAAGTTTGTTCTCCTTTATTTTATCCACGTCTGTTTTGTCCTTTAAAAATGGTGATCTTTTTTGCTAAAGGAAACTTCATCTCATGGCTTCTTCTTTAGGATCCCCCACCCCACCCTCACAGATGCTATTTCAGGGGTAGGCAACCTTTTTGAGCCGGGGGCCAGGTTGCTGTCCCTCAGACAATTGAGGGGCCGAAGCACAATATATGCATATATGTGCATATATATGCATGCACACTCTCTCAGCCCCAAAAGCTATGGCAAAACCTCTGTGGAGATTTTGCCAAGAAAACCCCAAGAACAAGTAATAACAACAATAATCAATATCATCATAGCGGGCGGCAGTGTGGGTGGCGGCGGCGGCAGGACCGGCCTGGAGCGGTCCAAAGGCCTTGGGGGGCCACATTCGGCCCCCGGGCCTTAGGTTGCCTACCCCTGTGCTGTTTGGTAGAACATCTCCCATGAAAACATAATTTCCCAGGTCATACATCTCTTTTCCATGAAACCTAGGATTTATTTAGAGTTAAAACTATATGCTTGGGTATACCAAGTTGAAGCTAATTACTCCTACCCTGTTTCTTCATAAGAGTTTTGTTCTCCAGTGAATTCCTATTCACTGGAAGGTTTGTGGCAATTATATGAACTTATGGAAAGCTATAGTTGGAATGCTGTTGGTTTACTATGCTAGTGTAACATTATGTTGTGCTACCAGTTGTACTTTTTCTTTTACATACAGAGAGGTGGTGGCAAGAGTGGCCCTGGAGGGTGTTGATTGGCAACTCCAAGCAGCCTGTTTCCAAATGCTTAGTTTTGGATTTGGGGATTCCTTAGAACTGAAGATTGACTGAGAAGAATTGATTAGATGATAACTTGTCTTGTAAGACAGTTTGCAAGTGATTCTTCCAGGAGCACCCTTAATTTTGAGGAAAAACTGCTCCCCAAATCTGGCATTTGGAAATAGATTGCTTGGAATGGGCACAGCTTTCTCTTTTGGCTGCTGCTGCCCTTGTTGTATTTTCCTTGTTGCCACCGCCCTGATGGCCTTTTGCAGACTGCCACTGCTGGTCCATTTCCCTCCTTGGTGTGACTGAAATCCAGTAAGGTCTTCCTTCCCCACTTGTAAATGTTTTATTAAAATCTTTTGTGGAAGCATTTATCTTTCAGAAACTCTGGAATTTACTTTGTGTTGCTGATGTCAGTTGTGATGTAACAGTATAATCAAACACTCCCGAAAAGAAAAGATTGGCACCAAAGTTACTTTGCAAAATACATATGATCTGAGCTTCTTTCCCCTCCACTGCACTGGTTGTGCTGAAACTGCTCATGTATACTTTCTCACAATCCTGGTGTTTTGAATTCCAGGCTTCCTCCCTGCCAGATATTTGTAATCATCTTGAGTTACTGCAGAACATCCTGTTTCAGTGATGACAATAAAAGTTGCTGAGTGGCTGTAAAGTATTAATAGTTTTGTGATCTTTCAGGAATGTGTGAACAAAGACCTGTGCTGGAAGACACTGACTAGATCTCTTATTTCCTTTCTGTGAATGCATTTCTGCTAGGATAATGGTTTGTTGGTCAGTAATGACTTTTCTCTGTGACATATATGAAGGCTTCATTAGAGTTGGTGAGCAAGATGCAGACTCTGTTGTGCTTTCATAGGATGTTGAAGTGAACCCTTTAAGATCAAGTTGGAGAAATACATTTTACCACTGGGGAATGAACAGCAGGAGGCAGAACCTCTGGAGCACTGAATGAACTGTCTGTCATTAAGCACTACTCTTCTCTTTGGAATGTTCTTGATGATTGCTACTGTCTGCATATCATCAATTTCTTTCTCCTAATAAAAATTGTACTGTTTCCTTGCTGTACAGCAAGTGTTAGCTTGCTCACAGGAATATTTTTG